TGTGAAAGAGATGGCTAGTTTTTCTAGCGTCCTTACATATTTAGAGAGTGACGTCATGAGTATGGCAATAACCTTGTTCATTTAAGTTGTCACATAAAACTTTAAGTGTTAAGCGTTCATGGTATTGTATGATAAAATTATCAGAACAAATATTGGTTACCTTGCACCTGGAACTCTCACAGAATCTTATATTGCCATATATAGTCATAAAATTTTCATACTATTTATCTATTATCTACCTTTTGGTACTGCAATTACCTAAAAACAGGGGAGTCATTATCTGAGCATGTAGCAGATATTGTTTACCCATGAGCCTTTGCATTTTAGGAGTGCATTGTTATCATCACTTAGGACTCAATTACCGCATGCCACAGTTGACAACCCCTTTGCTTTAAATTTAAGACATTTCACCACACATGCACGAGATGTATGGTCTCATATAAACAAAGATGGCGACTTTGGCTGTTGGCGCAGATTAACGAGTACAAACTGAGACGCTACGAAGCTTTAATTAGAAATTTTTAGGTGATTGGAAGGTGTCAAAGAAGTCATCAGCGGTAATCAGTGCAAGTCTCACCCAGGTCAAACCTCATACATGTGATTGCCATTAGAAGAGCACATTGGATTGTGGAAAAATCAATGTTTATCAACACAAATGTCGCACATGCGCAGTGCAACAACCACCGCCCTTTAATGATCAAACTATGATTAGTCAGCACAATTATTTTTGTTTGTTTTTAATAGTTCTACAGTATAATTGTATGTAAATGGTATTGTATGTTATTGTTTTCCAGGATAAACAACTGTGTTGGAGAGGATAACAAGTGGATCTTTGTTTTATTGGTGTTTTATGGTGCTTTAATGAGTTTCTATGCTCTTATTCTTATTGTCTGTCATTTTTATATTTTCCCAAAATGTCAAGTAGATATATGCAATCCAGTAAGTAATATTTATTTATTTGTTTATTATACTCTCTTCTCTATCAATAATGCCTTCAATAGTACTATCAATTGTTTTGTCATTATCAAAAATGCCCTCTATGGTGCCAATAATTGCCTTTTCATTATCAATAATGCTCTCTATGGTGCCAATAATTGCCTTTTCATTATCAATAATACTATCTATGGTTCCAATAATTGCCTTTTCATTATCAATAATGCCCTCTATGGTGCCAATAATTGCCTTTTCATTATCAATAATGCTCTCTATGGTGCCAATAATTGCTTTTTCATTGTCAGTAATGCCCTCTATGGTGTCAATAATTGCCTTTTCATTGTTAATAAATCCCTCTATGGTGCCAATGATTGCCTTTTCATTGTCAATAGTGCCCTCTATGGTGCCAATAATTGCCTTTTCATTGTCAATAATGCCCTCTATGGTG